TCAGTGGCAAGGAGAACGCATGCCAGAGCTCCCAAGGTCCCTGTCTGTTCCCAGACAGGGAACTTCCAAGCCCCCCCGGGCTGTTTTGACGGGTCCTTGCTCCATGCAGGTGTCATCTGTTCTCTCCAACTCACCCTGCCTCCACGGATGCCCTTTGGTGATTTTCCTTTGCATGACATCACCCAGCTCCTGAGCTGCTGCCAGCTCTCTGCTTCCAGAGAAGACCCTTTACTGGCTGGGACAGAGACATTCGGACTGGGGCAGTGCCACACTTGTGCTGTCCTCCATAGACCTGCTCTCTCCTGGGAACAGGTACACCCCGAGGAGGCAGGACCAGAGGGGCTGGGCTGCCTGCAGGCAGGCAGGCCCCAGCGTAGTAATTTGGACAGCCTGAATATCTCCACATGCTGAGGACAGAAAGTGCCAAGCTCCCCCAGGGATCTGCTCCAGCAGGCACATCCCTGCATGGCATCGACAGGAGCCAGCAGGAGTGTAAATGTGGCTGTCACCCCTTCTTCCTCCAGCAAGAAGGCAGATGTTAAGAGAGGAACAGTCCCTGTCATACCAGGCGTGCCTGTGCAGGCTCAGTATCAGCACTAGGTGCCAGGGCCAGCCCTGTCTCTCTGCTGGTGTTCTCACTCCGCGCACCATCACTACACCAGCTTCCCTCCCCAGGCAACTGGCAGGACTGTTTTCCCACTAAACAGCTGTAGATGCACTTTGACTGGCCTCAGGGGTTCTGGCAGCTTTGCCCTCCTTGGCTCTAGTGCAGTCAGCAGGGCAGATGAGTGGGAAAGCGCCAGTCCAGCCTGGCAGCGACCCCCCAGCCTGCACAGATGAGCACATCTGCTCCCCCTCACCCCCCAGAGGACTGTCCATATCAGCTCTCAGAGCAGGACTGCTCCCGTGGCAAAGGGACTGTCCAGCCCAGGCTCACTCAAACTGAAAAAAGTAGCTCGGTGGACGTTGCCACTTAGACTGCAAATATGCATCAGCCTCGACAGCCTGTTTCTTTGCACTGGGCGGGAGAGAAGGACAGCTTGCCTGTGCGACTCCAGACACATTACCTGCCAGCACCACACAGCCAGCCAGCCGTGGGGCCCAGTGTCTGCAGCCACTGAAAACTTCCCACAGCACAGCCTTCACAAGCACCCCCTCAGTTCTCCTGTGTCCATCAAGAAGCCACAACTCCCTTCTGACACCACACACCCAAAAAGCACCTGCCTGGGCCCAGCAGAGCGAGGTCACTCTTGTCTCAACAAATTGCTGCCTTGCTTCTGGTGTAAAGCGACAGGCATCAGCTTCAGCCTCAGACAGTCCCGGTGACCCTGACCCCGCAGGGATGTGCACAGCAAGGGTGGAGATCAGCCCTAGTAGTGCCAAGTGTCCAGCGTGCAGCCGCGCATGAAGATGGGTCTGGTTTTCTTCCCCAAATGTCTTGACCCCAGTGACTCTCCCCAGTCACTGCTAACACACTGAGCGCTTAGGAACAGGGGAAAAAAATCCAAGTATAGTCCCCAACTGCAGGAAATGAGGCCCTCGCTACGAGGCAAGGGTTGGCAGAAGGCATTTCAGGAAGAAGTGGGCAGGGAGCCATAAGCTGGAACTCCCTTTCACTTGTCCTCAGACCTTCTTGCTAGGCCCAGTCCCCCATGGAGAGGGGAACAGGCAGAGTCCAGGGAAAGACACATCGTGGCCTGTGGGGAGAGACCCCAGCAACAGCCTCCATGCAAACTGAAGAGCTCTTTGAGGAACACTCTGCCCTGATAGCCATGCACCTGGGCGATTCTAATGATCCTAGGGCCACCAAAATCTGGGCAGATCCTGGGGCACCCCTGGATATGGCTCATGCTGCTGCCTGCCAGCCTCCCACCAGAGACCAGAGCTGGAGGGAGACTCACCATGTCCCAGCTGACCCTTCCCAGGGAGCAGAAAGTGCAGAGAGAAACAAGTGAGGAGAGAGAGCTGGAAAGATGGTCAGGCCCCCATCCCACTGCCAAGGGGGTGGAGATCCGGGCTGCTGATGCACTAATGACACACATCTGCCTTTGGTCCTCCTGCTTGCTGCGTTCTGAGCCAGGAGCCAAATGCCCAGGGCTGCCTGCAGTCTTCCCAGTCTTCTGGCTGGGAAGGGCAATCTGGCATCAAAGAGCAGCAGGGAGAGCCACAGGCTGAAGTCTGGGCTTTTCCCCTGGAGCCTTGCAGGGGTGAGGTGGGACAGAGGTTTGGGAGGGACAGAGCACGGAGCTGGCACCTGAGACACCCACAGTCAGCCCGCGCTGTCCACAGCCACCAGCAGCAAGGCAACAGTTCCCAGCCCCTCACACCGACGTCAGCTCGGTGCAGATGCTGATTCCTTCTGGAGACCACATCCTGCTGTTCCCTGGATGCCCAAGACTAGGGTACTCACAGTCCAGCCTGGGGTGCTTGGACATGGTAGCCCATTCCTGGGGAGGGGTTCCACTCTGATACCCCGAGGAAGAATATAACCAGGATAGGAGAGTGGAAGGAAAACATTTCTGAATGAATTAGTTGGTGTGACAACTGACACTACAACCTAGGCTGGGACAGGAGGGAAAAAATCATCACAGCAGCTCAGCTTATCACACATTAATATTCATTTATTCCATTTCCTCCTTTCCTTCCATTTCTGCAACATTTACTCATTTTCACCATTCCTCCCCACAAGACACTGAACTGCAGCCAGTTCCCTCCACCAAGGACTCCCTTTGGTTATTGGCAAATTAAGAGGCCTTTATCAGTCCCTGGTGCCGCTGTTCACAACAAGCTCCAGGATGCAGCCTTGCCTAGTGCAAGGCAGAATTGCTTATGGCTCATGCTCTGTGTACTCAAGGCCTGCATGCAGAGCACTTGGAGACCTGACAAAAAGGACAAGGCACATTCAGCATCACCTGCCTTTTAAATCAGAGAGCTTGAAACACTAGTATTCAGGCAGCAGGTCAGAACTCACAGAGAACGGGTGAGGATCACAGACCAGCCCTTAGCATAAGGCCACACAAAGTCCCACAGTCTAGGGATGCTTTGTGCAAGTGTCTCCTACATCAGAACATGAACATGTTGAAACCAATGCTCATGCACAACGAGCCCATGCCCAGGAGCAGAGACCAGTACGCTCTTTCTGTTGGCAAGAGCCATTGCTTCTACATACCAAAGGCAACTGTTAAACTTCTGCTTTTTGACTCCCCTCAGATCCATGCTTGACAATTTGGAAGCTGATTTGTGCACTTTCTAAGAAATGACCTAACTATGTTTGGGGAGAGTGCCACGGCTAATTTATCTGCCTCAACAGCATCTCCACAGACATACAGTTAGAGAAGAGAGGAGTGCCCCTGCCACCTTCCCCGACTCGGGCAGAAGGGACACTGCCAACAGCACCAGTGAGACCTGACACCCCTCAGTCACTCAAGACAACGTTAAAGTCTATTACCAGCAGCCAATTTTCACCACCACTGAACACAGCTGTGACAAGTAGAAAGATAAATTGGTTGAAGGGGCAGAGGAAAACTCTCAAACTAGTGAAACACATCAAGACAACTCCAAAAAATTGCCTAAGAAAAATCCAATCCCAGCCAAAAAAAAGTCAAAGACACTGTGGACATTTCTTGCCCACAGTCTTCCCAATCAGCCTTAACACAGAGGTGCCTGAAGTGCCCACAGAGCGGGTAGTTAGGGTCTGCTTACTGGGTTGCTCAGGGCCTGGCTGCATTTGGCCCTCGAGGTGCTGCTTGTAGCTTCACTGCTGTTCTGCCACAGGAGTCTGGGGAGGAACTGTGGAGAGAAAGGTAACGATCACCTTCGGTGAGTGAAGCAGAGTGGAAGGGCAAAGCTGTTTCCCTTTGATTCAGCCATGCACATCCCAGTTCCAGCTCAGCTTCCACACCAGAGGGATGTGATGCCTGGGAGCCAGGATGCAGCTGGGTCCAGAGGAAGCTCAAAGAGGAGTAAAGCCCAATCTAAATGTTGGCTGGGGCAGGAGAGGGCTCCCCCAGCATGTCCTTTAGCTGGCACAGCCTTGTGCTGCTTTACTCCCCCACAGACAAGAAACTCTCCAGCAAGCAGTGAGTAACCAGGCTGGGGGGGGGGGGCTGGGGGGGGGGGGGGAAACGAGGCCTCCAGGAATGCAGGATAAGGATCCCTGACAACAGTCCTGTAGAGAAGAGAGAAATTCAGCTTCCTAAAACTCAGTCCCCCAGGCTCTAACACAGAGAGCAGCCAAAGCCCAGTTGCAAGCTGGGCACCTCGGCAATTACACATGACATGAGAAGCTCTGAGTTGTTTAGGAGAATTAAGCATCGCCAAAGAGCCACGAAGAGAGGTAGGTATTTGTCCAGTCATAAACTTGTACACAGCAAAGGCATTTTTCCTGGCATAGAATCCACCCCGACGCTCTCAGCTTACTAAACGCTCCACAAAAGCACAGACCAGCTACCTCAGTGTCCTCTGTCCAGCACCCTTACAACTCTCAGGAGAAAAACCACGGAGCATTAAAAGCTGATCAAAGATCATAAAGCCTCAACGCGAAACTGTCCTAGACAGCAGCACTCCTTCCTGGACACAGGTCCTCTCTGTTCTCCAAACCCCATTTCGTTTAAGCCACACAACCACCAACTGCAACACCCAGACCACAAGCACACTGAGAAACAACACAGTCCAGTGACAACAAAGGCAAAATAATAAGTGTTTAAATGAAAGTTTCTTGCTTTCCCAGGGCTCACAGATGCATATACACAAGCATGCACATAAAAGAAAATGGACTTCCAGGCCCACAGAAAACTCTTCTTCCAGAAAACCAAACACCCCCTCCCCCCCGTGCTCATGCAGGAGCTGCTGAGGAAGGTGAGACACAGCCAGAATGCAAAGATGGTAGTCCAGCCAGCAGCACCCTGCTGCTGGCCACCACCTCGCTGTGCCTTTCCAGTGAGATGAGGTGGGAAGGGGTTGGGGGGACAGGTGAGAGAGATCTTATGCAGGTAACTTACCTTCCACAGTTGCAGTGACAAACTCGGTCTTCCCCTCTCAGATGCGGTAAGATGTAATTGTGAAATCTGTCCAACAACGCATTCATGTCCATCAAGCAAGCTATTGCCTGTAAGAGCCCATAACCAAGGCATCTGGTCAACTCTGGATGATGGAATAAAACATTGACTCTAGTTTGATTGCCAAAGACTGAAGCAGTCACAAAGAAAATAATCTTTGGTGTTTAATGGGGCGCACACACATGCACACACACGCATACACACCAAGGTGCACAGGCTAAGGGACAGTGCGGGGGGGGGGGGGGGTGGGAATGGAGGGGAGGGAAATAAGCAAAATCTCTTACCATAACGATAGAGGCGCCCAGGATCATGAAAATCATGGTGTTTGCATTCATGGACATCAATAGGGAATTGCCAGCGGTCGGGTCCGTCCGCCCCCGGCCCGCGGACAGCGAGCGGCGGCCGCGCTATTCCGCAGAGCTGAGCCCGGGGCGCATCGCGCTCAGCGCCCGCAGGCTGCGGTGCGGGGCGGTGCGGCGGGGGGCGGCGGGGCACCCCCCGCACACACACACTGCCCCCGTGCCGGGGCTGCCGCGGGCTCCCTTGCCCTGCCCGTTTTATTTTTTTATTTTTCTAGGACGAATGTGACAGGTAAAATAAAATAAAAAAATAAAAAATAATATATATATATATATATATATATCCCCTTCCTCCGGCCTCTCCCCGGCCTCCGCCGAGGGAGGTGGTGCGCCACGTCTCCGGGAGCGGGCACACACCGCCACAAGCACAGCCCTTCATGCAGCAACTGGAAAGCGAGCCAGCCAAAACCGAGGGGGGGTGGGGGTGGGGGGGAGGCTGGGGGAGGAGGAGGCAAGCTGCAAAAATCACCCAGTCCGGGGGAGCCTCATTGCATCCTCTTCCCCGACCCTCCCCCGAAATCACACCTCCCCCCCCCCCCCTTTCCTTCCCGATCGGAGCGGAAAAAAAAAAAAAAAAAAAAAGCCCACAACAAAATCCCAACCACCACCCCAAAAAATACACACACGCCACCCCCCTCCCCTTCTCCGGCTCGGGGCTGCGTGTCCCCGCTGCTCGGCTCCGTGCTGGAAGCCCCCGGCCCAGCCCCTCCCGGGCCCGGGTGGCTCAGCGCCGCCGGCTCTGCACGGGGGAGGGATGCGGGATGCAGCGGGGAGATGCGCCCAGGCAGAGCCGGCCGCCCCCTCCCCACCCCGGGCATTTACCTACGTGGGGAGGTGCTGCTCCGAGAGCGGCTCATTGCGAGCGACAGCAGCAGCGACAGCTCTGCGGACCTGCCCTTGCGGGGCTTCCCCCCGCCTCGCAGCCGCCCGCTTTTCCCGAGCGAAACCCCGGCAGCGGCGCTTGACCGCATTTGGAGTCCCACACGCCATCCTCACCCCGCCCTTCCTCCCGCCCGGGGTCGGCTCCGTCTTCCTCCCAGCCCGGAGGGAGCGCGGAGCCGGCCCCATCCCGCGCCCGGGCACAGCCCCCCCCAACCCCTGCACCCCCCGGCGGGGTGCGATTGGAACCCCGAACTCCGCCGCGCCCCCGCGCTTCCCACGGCACCTCCCTCCCGCCCTCTGCCAGCTGCTTCCCGCCCGGCCCCTCTGGAGGGGGGGGTTTGGGGGTGTGTGTGTGTCTGTATATCTCCCAGCCCTTTGCCCCAGGCCGGCCTGGGTCAGGGCACCCCCTCACCCCCAACACGGGGAAGACTCCTGAAAAGGCAACCAAGGAAGGCAGGGGGTGCCCATCCCTGCTTTGAGCATGTTGGGAGCAACCCCCACCTCTGCCAAGTACCTCCCCCCCGGCCTTGGCCCCCCCTAAGGAAAGCTGGGGTGATGCAGACGCAGGAGGCTCACTCGCTTTTTGTGACCGAAATTAAAATTACCCCATCCAACTTTGGTCCAAGGTCCAAGCAAAAGGTCATGCTTCAGGCTCTCCCACGGTTTTATTTCAGCAAGGTATTTGGTCAGTCCAACTCAGGCCATGGTTAGGAGCTTCTGGAAAAAATAAAAAAATAAAAGTGACCAGCCAATAACTTTTTCCTTGCTTGTTTGTTGGACGGTTTTTATGTAAATCGTGCAGTGTGGATGAACAGAAGAGATTACAGCCACCACGTGGGAAATGCGTGGTAGCACAGAGCTCGATGGTCGTTACGTCCTGTCATGCAGTGCCTTCACCTCCACGTCCTCAGCCTTCTTCAAGGTTAGTTTCACCTTGCTGGAACCCATGTACCATTTATTTTTCAGGCTTCTTGGGGCCATCAAAGTAGAGTTTGCTTGTTCTAGGTTTTGCATTCTTGCATATTTGTTTTCCTCCTGTTCTTCAGGCCATAGTCAGCCTTCTTATGTAATGACTTGTGTTATATAAACTCCATTCTTCAAGGAACAGTCATTAACCTACTACTGGGTATTGAAAATACCAAAATACTGTCACACAATTAAAATCACTAAATGGTGGCCTCAAATTAGAGCACAGATTGCATTGCAGATTTTTTTTTTTTTTTTAATTAAGCCACATACATGAAACATTTGATAAACCAGACACTTCAAGCAAAAGAGCAGTATGGCTGGGGAGGCGCCTCTTGCCGCTATCCTGCCCCCAGACCTCTGCCCCAAGCTGCTTTCACCTCTCACTGAGCTAGGAGGTGGTTTCCACCATCTATATGCAGACCTCAGTGGAAATAATGCAGAGATAATGCAGCTAGTTACTCTGCTAGTTGGAGAAAACACAGGCATTTTTAAAGTAACAGCCAAATAAAAATCACAGGAGAGAACAGACAATCTGAAGACAACTGTCAAGGAATTGTAAGTGAAGTTTTGCCTGGCCCTCCGCCAGCGTTTCCCATCTCCCAGCCATCCCCACAATCCAGGCTGGGTCAGCTCTCCGCTGGGCTTGAGGCACTGAGGAAAGATTTTGTCATTGACCCATGTGTAAGCCGGAGAAGCCCTCTTCCCTTGTTGTCCTTTTGGAGCAGAAGTCCTGGCTGATGGGAATTCCTAGTGCCACTGTTCTTATCATTTCGTTCTGTGAACACTGCAGTCCTGGTTGCACCTAGTGCCCTTCACCTCCCACCGTCAGCTGTAGGGCTGTGCAGCTCCCCGGCAGCCAGCTAACCCCCGCCTGGTCCTGGGTGAAACGGTGCTAATGGACAGGGCAGTGCAAGGGTCCGTCCTTGCGCCCACTGGCACTGCCCGGAGTACAGGATTTACTGAATCTGACAGGCTCCCAGGGCTGCAAATGTGAATTTCATGGCTGCTATCACCACGGGACTTATTAAATCCAGTCGCCACGCAGAACGTTTGAGTTAATGATCGTCTGTGGCACTGAATTACATCAGAAATTCCTTCCCCTCTCTCCTCTTCCTCCTTCAGCTGGCAGGGGTACCAAGCGGCATCTGCCATTCTGCAGCCAGGAACAGCTCACACTTGCTTTACTACAGCATGTCAGTCAAACAGGTCTCCTCATTGTTCTTGCTGGCCTATTTTCAACCCATCCAGACTTGGCTGGACCCTGTGACGCTTGTTTTCTCCCATCCTCCTGACCCCCCACCACCTAGGTTTGCTCCCTAGCCTCGGTACAGACTCTTACCGAGTTTTTCAAGCAGTAGCTCTTCAGAGCAACCTGTGATGGAAACGAGTTCTGCACAGCCATGGCAGGGATCAGACTGCACACAAACCGGGGCAAAACAAACAGACCGCCTGTTCCTGCAGAAACAAACCAACAGCAACATTTCTACCCTGTTCAGTGCTAGCACATGTTGAACTTTCAGCTGCTCACAGCTTGATCAGCGAGAGACCTGTGAACAACCCGAGGCTGTGGAGTGTTCAGCCGGTCTGGCCATCTTGCTGTGTGTCTAGGGGAAATAAGGCCAAGAATTCTTTCTCTAGTGACTTCCATCGGAAGAAAACAGGCAGCAGGCACTGACTGTATTTGAGCGAAGCGACACTGTATGAGGGAAGACTGTCTTTTTAATATAGGTGCTGAGAGGTGCTTAGTTTTGGGTTGCCACCACAGAAGTTTACAATGGGTTTGTTAAACTTGTTCCTAAGCACTTTTAATATTGCTAGAAGCCAATCCTTTTTGAAAACGAGTGTCCACACTACCTCTGGTTCCTGTTCAGCTTCAAGTCTCAGGCTGTACCGTCACCACCACCCGCACGCAGACAAGTCCACAGTCTGCAGCAATACAAGACCTCAGAGGCATTTGGCCAATCCCTAACCAAGCAGCCACTGTCTTCCTTTGTTTTAATCCAACCCTGCTGCATGACCCGGTACTGTCACCCAGCCTCCTTTATTTCTCAGCACTTGAGGGCATAAAGTGAACATATCCTTCCTTCCTTATAAAATATCTTTTAAACCCCAACAATAGTGGCTAAGATGATGAAAAAGACAAGAGATCTGCATGGGAACCACCTCAGACGTTTTTGCCCTGGGAGTGTGCAGCCCCAGGTAGGAATATTATCACAAGCCATGTTCACAGGAACTGACTCTCTCTACATTCCTCTCAAAGGGAGCAGAGACCTCAGCCAGTGTCCTGCAGTGCTCACACAAATCAGAATTTATAGAAAGTCTAACAACAACTAGAGCTAGCATTTCCCTCCCTCCTCAATTTTTTTTCTCCCATAAGAACCCACTCTGCTATCCCATACCCTCCCTATACTCCACTGACTGTTTTTTATTCTCTTTCTTCTCACAGTTCCCGTGCTGGTACTAGCATTTGTGTTTGTCTTTATTCTCCTAAATTCCTGCATATATGAGAAACAGAAGTTGAAGCTGGATAATCTGCCTGGCAACAAATTCATTAGGCTGCTGCACTGGGGAAATCTAGCTAGGATCATTGATCTTTGCAGAGTCAGATCCAGCAACACTGAAACACAGGGAAGAATGCTCTTTTCCACCATATGCAGTCTGATTGCATTATCTGCATTATTTTGTGCCCTGAGCCTTACGGGAGAGTGAAAGGAGCCAACAAGCAGAGAACTTCAGGGAGAAGACACCAGCAGTGCAGAGGGGAGAAAAAGCACCACTTTTTAATCACCAGCTTTTATTTACACAAACGTATTTGAAAGACATGCTGATGTCTCTGACAAAGAATGTGCGTGAATGTTATGGAGGTCTTAAGCAAGACAAGAAACAGACACAAAATCAAGAGTGACTTGTGTGACAGAGAACAGACTGCAAACTCAAAACAAACAGGGCTCCACTGCTCCGTGCCTTAGGGATAGGATCTGCGGAGGGCTGAGAGGGGAGATGGAAACCTCAGGGAGGTCTTGGCAAAGATCTGCCCACACAGGAAGTAGCGTCAACTTCATGGCAGCAGGAGAGCAAAATCTTATAAATGCACTTCAATAGATACTGGGTTTTAATCAATATGGCCTTTCACGGAAAGTCCAAAAAGTGAGATGCTGACAAAACATAAATCACTACATTTAGAGAGGGGGGGGATGGGACACCTCTGGAAGGAATCTGCATTTTAAAGCCTTATGGGAACTGGAAGAACAGCCTAGATAGCTGAAAACTCATTTACAGCAGCAATCTCCCATCACAGCCGAATTCTGAATACTCACAGTCTGTGTTCACAAGGTGTTAACCCTTCATTGCTTTCCTTCATTAAACAGGAAGAAGGCAAACTACAGGACTTAAAAAGAAATGGACCGTCTTTCATCAATGATCAACTGGAGTACCAGTGTATCTACAAGGCAGCGAAGAGCACACCATCGTCATATATATGCCACCCCACTCTTACAGGAAAAACACATTATTTTCCCCATTTCCTTTAAACTGAAGTTTCTCTTGAAATTTTTTTGACACAGAAAACAGCTTTGACATTGTGTTTAGCCAGAGTTTATTTTATACCTATTTATATATTTGTGTATGTATAAATATATGCAAGTCTCAAACAAGACTAGGACTCCATAAAATTCCTGTATAAAATGAGCTTCATCGTGGATTTCAATGCAAGTGAAGCATATGGACACAACATAACTATAGAAATGCATACATTTTTCACTAACCTGAAGTTAAATGAGAAATAATGTGTCAGAGTAAGAACACCTTTAGTGAAGAACAGGTTTTACTCACAGAAATGTTAAATACTTTGAACTGGACTGTAGATCATTCAGAATACTTGCCTGTCCACCCAGGTCACTCATCCATCCAGCCAAACATCTTTCTGCACACTGGTAAATAAACACGATGACAAATAACCAGCTCCTGGTGTTGCTTTTGCTTATGAACAGAACATTTAGGATGAAAAGAACAATTCTGGAACATTCTGGATACTATAACATGGTTTTAGACCAAGTCTTCTCATTTCAGTTGAAGAGATGCAAGGAACTGAAGTTCTACTAGTTAATCCATACTTGGTACTACAGCAACCAGAATTCTCTGCAAATTACACACATAAACAGCATAATCTTTATGTAATAAAAAGAACATGGTTGTAAATCTCCACATACACACAAAACATGGGTTAAAACATCTTGTTTGGGTTTTTACTCTCTTTCTATAAAATAACAATGAAGACCTCTGTTTAAGATGAATTAAGTTGAAAGTAGAAAACATTTTCAAACACTAAGTTTCACCTTGCCACAGGGTAGACTTCAGTACTGATATTGTATGGGAAAGGAAAACTCTGCTCAAAATACTCAGTACCATGCTTGCTTGGAATGTCTTTTTAAAGAGATCAACTAAAGCAGTTCAGTCCTTACAGATTCATCTTCCTTTGGCTGTAAATATCCCCATGGTAACAGTGATGGTATCAGATAAATGAGCAGAAGCAGAGGAGGCTGAATGAAATCCTTCACATACAGGATCTCCAGAAACAAAATGGGACAGGACAAGCCAATTGGAAACCATGCACCATGCAAACCTTACCGCAACTGCTGCTTGAACTCCCCATCCCTCATTGTTCTGATCTATTCACACGTTCTCCACAAAATTTTGGCTTTAAGTATTTTTAACAGACAAGAAAAACAGCACAGGTAATTCAGGGATATTAAACATTCCTGGGACCCGTGAATGATGCAATGACCCATTTGGACACTGTCCAGGACACAGATTGAGCTGGCAGAGGTCTAAATTTTCCCACAAGGCAGTTGAAACCACAGCCAACCCCAAGATCCCCGGAGTAGAGAGTGGTGTAAGATTTCTTTAGGGACCTGACTCAACAGACTTCAATATCTGCAACTGCAAATAAGTAGTTTCAGATACAGACCTAGAGTTTTCAGGTATGAAGC